CTATTTTTTTTGGTCACCATTGCCAGCTCACAAGAAGCAGGGTGGGATGTGCAAGGTGGTGGGATGTGTTACCATAGCAACAAGCTGACTCACTGGCAGGACTGTACCATTTTTCATTAAACCACAGGGGGTCAGCAGCAGATGCAGCCTCTGAGCTGTGATAGCTCTGTGCATTTGTTGATTCTGGGAGGACAGGAGACACCCCTGTTTTGGGCAAATAGGTGCAACATCCTCAGATCTTGGGTGGCTGGATGATAGAGGGAGGGGGAGGGTGATCATGGCTGCTTTTGATGCTTTATTCAATGCTGCCCTGTTGTTTTTGTGTCCTCATGAGCATATTCACTAATATACAGACTTACAGTAACCAATTTCTTCCTGAATTCTTTGTTTCTGTTATATAAAAGAAACAGCAGCCTTTTGGTGTCTTTTTCCTTTTTCCTTGTTGCTTGTTTTCCTGGTTGACCTGTTTATTTTGGATGTATGTATCTTTTGGAATAACACTGTGATCTTTACTTAAAATGTGTTCATGTGCACAAACAAAAGGTATATTACATTGCAGTGTGTAATTTCAACTAGAATTCACTTCCTTATAAAAACACAGTTGCTGCTTTGCTTTGTCTAAGAAGCTTAGATTTGCCCTCACAAAGACAGTCATACACACATCAGCTGTGACAACTGCAGGGTCACAGAGACCCTCATTAATAAGGCATGGATTTCTCTCAGGGCATCGCCTCGAGGCCCCCTGCTGTTGCTATGAGGGTAGTGGCTTTGTGCAGCAGTGCAGTGTTTTGGTTGTGATTCATACACTGGTGGTGTTGTATATGCTTCTGTTTGAACGGAGAGTTGATATTTGTACCCCGTTTCTGTTGTACAGCATAATCCAACATACCAAAAACAGTTCAACAACAAAATCATGAATATATTTTTGGTTAAGAAGCCAGGGTGACCTGCATTTCTCTATCCACTGAGGTAGCTATTGCCTCTGTCTATCTCAACAATAATTTTATTTTATTATTTCTTATTTATTTTTGTTTGATCATAATTATCATCCCTCTCACAAGGACAGCAATGCTAAAACAACATTTCCTTGAAACGCCATCCTCTCTCTCTCTCTGTCTCTCTGTCTCTCTCTCTCACTCACTAACTTACATACACACACAAACACACTCATATGTCAATGTGTTCCCTAATTTTTTTGTGAGAGC